TTAAATGCGGAGACGGTACACTCCCGATTTCAACAAAGAAGAACTGTCAACCATGAGGCTTTCTAAAATTGATCTGCCTTTCAACCGTCACCATTAATAAAACCATTAACACCAAGTCAATAAATATTAGCGTTCAACGTCTAATTTCTAGCCGATCTCCAGCTTTGAGTAAAGACCGTTCTATTTTTTCGCACATGCCGCCAGCAGCGCCTCATTGCTAAACGCATAGCAAAAACCCGCTCAACTTCAGAGTGCCCAAAGTAGGTCGAGGACTGCACATCCACAACTTGAGGCAAGATAAAGCAATCGTAGTGAACGGTATTGACAGTGCAAGAGATTTGCTTAAGCCTGATGGCTGACCACTTTTATTCTACGTAACCCACTTTTTAGAAGATGAGGGTTCAGCTGCAATTTCTTCTCAATATTTCTTCTACCAATACTGTTCCAAAACCGAATGTCATCAAGATCGTACCTGTCACCTGAAAGAGCGCTCAAATTCGCATCTTTCAGGGAAAGTATGGCTCATCTTACTTGATTCGACATTTTTTGATGATGCCACTGTTGGTATTCGAAGAAGGCATAGTAGATTCAATACCCAGAGTGACATCTGAATGGTAAGAAACAAATGGCCATCATAGCTGGTAGAACATGGCAATGGAGTGGATCTCTCTTATATAGTGAAATTTCAGTTTAAAAAATTTAAATTATAGCAAGAAAGCAAAAAAGAAGCAAGCAAAAAGACATTGTTGATAAAGAAGAGAAGCTGAGAAAGGAAAAGAGTTGTGACTATGGAAAATGATCCTATCCAGATGCCAGATCAACAACAAAACAAGACCCAGGTTCAAAACAAGACCCAGGGTATAGAGAGGGATCTCTAGGTTGGAGTGGTTCACTACAAAGCCCATATAATACTTTGTCATGTTTTTCGCATTTTAGTTGAACTACGACCGAAAGGCTATCTGGTTCTCGGAATGGGTTGCCAACAGGTGATCGGAGGAGACGTTTCAGGTGATAAGTTTCTGACGGGAGTCTCCAGAGTAGCTAGGGCTCCTTAGGATTCTAGGAAATATACTCTTGCTTATGCGCCCATCCTTTTTATGGAATGGTTGCCTTGACAGGATTTTTTGGCGAATAGAAAACCTGTAGCAATGGAGCAATGTGAGCCAGTGTTCAGCTTTCTTGATATTATAGCTTTTCCAAGTCATCACTTTGGTTCTCTAAAATCTGATAGGAGATGGTTCGCTGACGATGACCCGACGATGACGATGTTCTGCTGTCAGCGACATGGGCCAGGGAAGGCAACGAAATCTGTCGGCGACATCGGAACTAGCCACTATTCATGTTATTCGAGTTCCTCTTTTCGCATAGATTTCAACCACAATCTATTTTACAAAACGGGTGCAATCCTGCGGCCCAGTTGACCCTTGACCTCCACACTTTTCTTTCCTCCCTACCCCAGGTTG